GCGTTTTTGTTTTTGAGTTTTTTTTCGTTTTTTTTTGTTTTTTGCGGGCACGAAAGCCCATGTTTGCTAATTTTTCCCCCACATATGCTTATGTAAAATTGTTCGGAAGCGGCATGTTATATTTTGCGCATTCAGCGTGTTCTGTTTATGACACGGAAGTATTACAACCAATTGCTACCATTTCTTTCTGGAATGTCCAACCCCAACGTGTTCTCGTTTTTGTTCTCGTTCTCGTTCTTTCTTTCTTTCTTTTTTAATGCTTTATGACTATAAGTTCCCATAACCAATTTTTCTCGTCCGTTCACAGACCAATAAATGACTGAATTGATGTGAGAAGTTTTGTTTTTAACGATACCAAGACGTATTAACTTCCGCATGGTTGGCTGAACGAGCGTAACTCGTCTTTAATTGACATAAAATTTGCACATAAAATCGTGGCAAATCGCACAGGACTTGTGACGAATTCCGGTCCTTTTGGTCTGATCCACAACCAACCACAAAAGAAAAAAATCTCACATGTAAGAACTGGGCGACATATATTTAATCTCGATGTCTGTGTTAGGAATTTTTGCGACGTGAAGTTCACTTGGATTTCTAAAGACGAACAAAAAAAAAAATGAGTAGGAACAAGGTTAAGCCGGAAGGCATTATTTTACATGTAGATCTTTTTTAATAGGGTAGATTTGACGAGAAAATGAATCCAAGTTTGCATCTAAATAGAAAAAAAAATCCCATTTGCCTTATTTAAATATCTTGCTGAAGTACTTGGTAATCCCATTGGAGCTCTTTCGTATTTAAGCAAAGAAATTTATTGAAAGAAAAAAAAATGGTGGGAGAAGTTCACCTAACACTGGAATGTTTCCAGAAATTATCCACATAGATTCATATGAATAAAACACATTGCCAACTGTTACTTCAAGTACCCTATTTATTTCTTCCATATCTGCAAGTCTTCAGCAAGCTTTTGGGAGGAGGACTGCTTTTTCAAGAAAGATGAAATCGCCTTTGCGATTATTGTTACGATTTCTACTGAACTGGTAAACAATTTATGGTTAAATTAGCGACTGAAAAAAAAGTATATTATTTTACCTTCTGAAACTGTTTTTTTTTTTTTTTAATGCTAAACCAAGAAATTTAATTTTCTGTTATGTTAACGAATATCAAATTCGCTAATATAGAATATTAAAATAATTAAACGCAAGGGAAAATACTGAATTACTTTTTAACACTACCACTGATTTTTCTTCCTCAATACACGCATCTAATTTATTTATAATTAAAAATATGATATACACGTCATTTTCTTGAATCTATCTAACTTTATATCTCTCTTTCTATCTTTCTTTCTCCCTTTATCTCTTCATTATCTATCTATCTATCTATCTCTATCTTTCTTTCTCCCTTTATCTCTTCATTATCTATCTATCTATCTATCTATCTATCTATCTCTATCTATCTTTCTTTCTCCCTTTATCTCTTCATTATCTATCTATCTATCTATCTCTATCTTTCTTTCTCCCTTTATCTCTTCATTATCTATCTATCTATCTCTATCTATCTTTCTTTCTCCCTTTATCTCTTCATTATCTATCTATCTATCTCTATCTATCTTTCTTTCTCCCTTTATCTCTTCATTATCTATCTATCTATCTCTATCTATCTTTCTTTCTCCCTTTATCTCTTCATTATCTATCTATCTCTATCTTTCTTTATCTATCTCTTCATTATTATCTATCTATCTCTTTCTTTATCTATCTATCTCTCTATCTATCTTTCTTTCCCTTTATCTCTTCATTATTATCTATCTATCTATCTATATTTCTCCTATTTTCTTTCTCTTTATCTCTTCATTATCTATCTATCTATATTTTCCCTTTATCTTTCATTCCCTATTATCTATCTATCTATCTATCTCTATCTATCTTTCTCCCTTTATCTCTTCATTATCTATCTATCTATCTTTCTCCCTTTATCTCTTCATTATCTATCTATCTATCTTTCTTTCTCCCTTTATCTCTTCATTATCTATCTATCTATAAATAAAATAGCAATAATGCACTTCGCTTTCTCTATCTCCATGTGTGTCCGGGAGGTGGGGGGGCGTTACTGTGCGTATGTTTACATTGGCAAATAAGGCACAGATACATACTGATGGGTACAGAAGAACGAAGTAATGAAGAAGAAAAAAAATTGAAGAATAGAAGAAGAAGAAGTGTTGATGTGGTGAAGAATGAAAATAAAAGGAAGTATAAAATGAAAGAAGAGTTGCAAAGAAAGGTTGACGCAGTAGTAAAGAATGGCAGAAGTGAATAGAAATTACAAAGAGTTGAGTAAAAGAAGTTGTAGAATTTAAAGAGTCTGTTTGCCGCAGTTTGGAGTGTAGATCTTTTCCAGCGTCAGATAAGCAGCTGAATCCAATCTAATTTGCTGCTATGTGCCTAATGAGGTATTGAATCGGATTTCGACGAACGTCTAGCTCTTCTCTCCTCTCTCGCCGTGTAGTCGTCCGCCCAACTTGACAGGCATTGAGTGATGAAGCAACCTATCTTCTACGTCCATGTCACCGGCGAGGCAAGAAGCAGAAGTCAACGGCGGAGACAGAGGAGGAACAAAGAAAAAAAAAAAAAAAAAAAAACGAAAGAAAGAAAAGAAAAAGTAATGGCAAAACAGAAAAACGAAACGAAATAAAATAAAGTGGAAGGAAGCAAACGAGATGGCGTTCACGTGAGCGACAATGCGCATGCGTGCGAAAATGGGTTACTCTGATCTTAGTTCTTTTGGATCACACATATTTTCATTCTTTAGGTCTATCGTATGTATGAATTACTACATATATATATATATATATATATATATATATATATATATATATATATATATATGACTCTATATATTACAAAGCCTTGTTCTGAATGTCGTTTTAAGTGTTTATTTTCGCGTTAAACACGGCACAATAGGCGTAACATATACGATAAAAGTTGAAACTAGAGAATTTCCCCACCTCATCTCTTCTGGGTTAAAACTGAACTTTATTTCAAAGCTGATTGCTGACTAAAGACTGGTTGATATTGTCTAAATCTTTTTAGATGAACCGACTATCAATTGTTGTTTTGTTGCGATCAAAATAAAGGCTTATTTTGCAAATTATTTTCCAGGCTTATTGAATATTGTTTTTTTTCAATTTTCAATTTAGTAATGGTCAATATCATATATATATATATATATGGGTTAAAGATCAAATATGGATCGGAATCTGACAGGATGATAATATAAAGAACAAATAAGGAAACGTTTATTAATCAATCTGACATGATTCACTTTTAAAGCTTCGTCAGCCTGTTCTCTCAAATTCTCTGATGAAGCTTTAAGTAAAACAAGTTAGATTGATATACGTTTCTTATTTTTTTCTTTTTTTATCTTTCTTATCATATATATATGTATATCCTATCCAGCAATAACAGAATCCCATTAAATTCAATCAACGAGTACAGTTTGTTCACTTCGCGACAATATTTGTTTCCAATTTACGAACAAGTTGTCGCTAGTCTGAATCAAATTTATGGGGAAGTTGTACAAGTTTCTTTCCGTTTGGAATATTATCGGCCACCGCTGGTCATCATCAGAAACATTGACGTTATTATATATTCGCGTATATATATATATATATATATATATATATATATATATGGCTGTCTGTATTACAAAGCCATAATTTGAAAGGCGTTTTAAGTGTTTATTTTCGCGTTAAACACAGCACAATAAGCGTAACATATAAGACAAAAGTTGAAACTAGAGAATTTCCCCACCCCATCTCTTCTGGGTTAAAACTGAACTTTATTTAAAAGCTAATCTGCTATTCTCATCCTGGCATTTTCTGGAACGATAAATTTAAAATTTAAACATACGTGTATCCTTGAAGTGGCGTCTGTGTAGAACGATTCACACGGCTTGATAACAGGAGAATATATGTATATATAGATTTATTTACACACACACATTGGTCAGTTATGTGGGATACACGCTTAGGCAGTTTTTTTCCCGCAGTAGGTTGCCATTTCTTTCTGCGGTAGATCAGTTGGCATCCAAGGCTATAGAACCCGGCCTGTCCTGCTATATACAAATAGCTGGGGTGGGGGCGACTGAAGAAGAGAATTCATACCTTTCCCAAGGGTATTAACACGTAAGTGAATGTAATGGATTCGACTGGAAAGTCAGTCAGTCAGTCAGTTATGTGCAATGCGTGATACACGCTTAGGCGATCATGTATCTTTCGATACATGACTGACGAGGCAGATTTTTTTCCCGCAGTAGGTTGCCATTTCTTTCTGCGAGAGACCAGTTGCCATCCAAGGCTATGGAACCCGGCCTATCATGCTAATTAGCTGGAGGGAGAAGAAGAAGAGTCACACCTTTCCCAAGGGTATTAGCACGTAAGTGAATGTAATAGATTTGACTGGAATTCGAACTTGACTCTCCGATTCGAATTCTAGTCCATATATATATATATATATATATATATATGTATATATATATATATATATATATATATGTATCACGCACACACACATTATATATTTTTAATTTATATTGAGTATAAAGTAAAAAAAAGAAATTGTTTTTAATTCAGTTTAAAATATCTCCAAAACTTTGGGAATTGAGGAAAACAATTTTATTTCTTTAAAATGCCAAGTAACCATAGTTAAAGTGGGAGGTCTGTGATTTGAAGAACTCAGATTTCGGCTTGATTTGGTATTTCGACCCAAATCAGACTTTTGTCCGGAATTGGACTTATAGCACGAATCAGAGAGGTTTGAAGTTCCATGGAATAAATTGAAGAATTCAAAGTTATTTCTTCAAAATTTTCATTGTTGTCTTCTAAGCTGGACCAGAGGTTCCTTCAGTATGGGACTGGTGGCCCAATTATCTCTATGCAGGAGCTAGGTTAAAAGTCTTCTTTTAAGCTCGTTGATATATAAATGGGAGACACTATAAAAAGAGCATACCATGATGAATAAAGGCCCCAAACTTGATAGAAACAAAGTTTTATCATCAAAATATGTTATTATTAAGAGGAAATACCAAAAGCATTTTTTTAAAGTTCTGCAGAGTTTGTGATTTGAAGAACTCAACTCAATTGAAGTTTCATGGGGTTTGTTATTTGAAGAATTCTATTTTCGCCCTGAATTGGAATTTCATCCCAAATCTGTCTTTTGGACTTATAGCCTGATTCAGAGTTAAATTGAAGTTTTGAAGTTCC